CAAGAGACTCGAGACACAACACAAATGGCAAGTTTCCTAACTTATGCAAATTTACTCCGCAGAAAGAAGCATATGAAATTAGCTCTCTAAATGTTTCTAAGCACAACAACAACCTATCTAGCTTATATTGTTCCCATGAGCTAATAATTATAAAGGAATAAAGTACTGAATTTCATAGTTACCTTACTTCTGAAATTTGGAGACTCAGTAGAAACATTTTTAAGTTTTGTGATGAGGTATATAATGATGTAACCAAATATGAATACATTATTCGGAATGAACCGATAATGTGTTCTAAACAGATACAAATACAAATATGAAAAAGAAGTGCACTATTTGGTTTTTTTTTTTTAGAAGGCTTGACAGAAAGGTTCACAGGATTGGGACTGAGATCCCGCAGGACGGGATTTCATACAGATTTGAGCTTGCAGTTAGCGTTGTTGCACGATGCATTCACAGCGTTCATTCATTTGTTCTTAGTAACTGCCTGGCCAAGATTGTGGCGGCTTAAATTACCAGTTTGTTTATATTTTGGGAAATAGAAGCAACTAAATTTGTTAGAAAATATCACTAGAAAGTACAAGCAAAAATAATAACTGTGCAAGCATGATTAAAAAATGTCCCAAGAGCATCACTAGTTCACTAAGCACTAAGGTCACTAGATTCTGGGGGCAGAGGTGGTAAAATTCATACTTTAAAAAAAAACACTCTGATGCCATACCCATTTTGCGTTTAAATCTGAATACGGATAGGAATATTTGGAGCACTAAGCAGATTTAGGTAGTGCCATAGTGTTACACCCTTAATGAGCTTAAAACCATAATTCATTATCAGATGAGCGACTGGCCTATTGGAGCAGTTAACACCCTGTACTAATAACTGAATGTTGGTGAGTTCAAATTCCAAGACTATTGATCCCTTGAACAAGAACCTGCTCAGCTATATTCTTGGAATCGATATTTTTCCACTGGGAAGTTGCATAAAAGTCTGGCAAATTAGTCAGTGTAATATCAAATCAACACATTCAATGTAGATGTATAATTTTCCATGTGTGTCCTCCATGTACTCCAATCTCATCCCTTCTCCCAAAAACATAACGGTAGGTGGACTGGCTACTCTAAATTGCCTCAAGGTATGTGTAAGTGTGTGTGATACCCTTCAATGGACTGGTGTATCCATGCCTTGCACCCAGAATTAGGATAGGCTGATCAGGATAAAGAGGTTATTGAAGATAATTGAATGTAAAAGAATAATTTGTCATTGTTTTTCATGCCAAAAGACAAAAATATGGCTTGTAGTTCCAAGCGTAACACTGTTAAACTTCCAGTTTAACAGTGATCATCACTCACTCATTACTCATGTCTTCTGCTCTTGTTGTTTCAGGCTCTTTCCTGATGCATACCAGACTCCTGTCCTGCTGTATTACCTTCTGCTGAGATCAGCTTTGGGGAATCTCACTGCACCAATCTCATCTCCATAATTTCCACTCAGACTGTGTAGTTTCACATTGACAAGCTTTCCTAATGGCATACACTGAGACGGATCTAAGCAGCTCACTCACATAATCTGTTTCTGATTTGCTGTAAATCAAAGCTGTAAATTTTGCCTATCCTAAAAACAGACCGGTATAGCAGTTCATTATCAGTCCCTTCTATACAAAGTATGTTATTTGGCTTATGATGTGTAAGATCATTTCCAGTGGGTGGTGAAATGGACCTGAGTATACTATATGGCCAAATGTTTGTGGACACCTGACCATCACACCCATGTGTGCATCACACCCTTTGCTGCTATAATAACCTCCACTCTTCTGGGAAGGCTTTCCACAAGATTTTGGCACATGGCTGTGGGGATTTGTCCACTCAAGTTTCAAGTTTATTGTCATGTGCATAAAGAGTGCTTGAGCATCTATATACAATGAAATTCTTGTGCTACAGTTGCACACTCCTACCCAGGCACAGTGCAAAAATGATAAATGAACTCTTAGGTAGTACAAAAATTAGCAAACTGTAAACACTGAACACAGACGAAAGACTGTGAAAGATTATTAATGTGCTCTAAGCAAGTAATTATAATAAACTGTAAACACTGAAATATTGTATGCAGTCAAAAAGTGAAATGGTGGGAGATATTGCACATACAGTACTCTAAATATTAATGTACTCTTAGCAAGTAAAAATAAGAATAAACTGTAAACATTGTAAACATTGTATTCAGTCAAAAAGTGACATAGTGGGAGCTATTGCACATACAGTACAAGGACAAACTAAGAAGAAGCTGTCTTGCAGCCTGCTGGTGCAGGATCTGCTGCTGCGATACCGTCTGCCTGATGGTAGCAGCGAGAGCAGTCCATGGCTTGGGTACCTGGAGTCTCTAATGATCCTCCTTTCTTTCCTCACACACCACCTGGTGTAGATGTCCTGGAGGGAAGGAAGTGCTAGGCTGTCCACACCACTCTCTGCAGAGCTTTGCGGTTGAGGGTGGTGCAGTCCCCATACCAGACGGTGATGCAGCCAGTCAGGATGCTCTCCACGATGCAGGTGTACAATGATTTGAGGATGTTGGGGCTCATACCGAACTTCCTCAGTTGTCTGAGGAAGAAGAAACACTGGTGAGATTTCTTCACCACTGCCTCGGTGTGAGTGGACCATGTGAGGTCCTCAGTGATATGAACACAGAGGAATTTGAAGCTGTTGACCCACTCCACTGGTGTCCCATCGATGATGATGGGGGTGTGCTCCCTGTCCTGTCTCCTGAAGTCCACTATAAGCTCCTTGGTCTTTTTGATGTTGAGCCAGAGGTTGTTTTCCTGGCATAACATTGGAGCTGACACTGATGACATTGGAGCTGTGTCTGGCCACACGGTCGTAGGTGTATAAGGAGTACAGGAGAGGGCTGAGAACACAGCCTTGCGGGGCTCAAGTGTTGAGAGTCAGAGGGGAAGAGATGTTGCTGCCAATTCTGACCACCTTGCATCTGCCTGACAGGAAGATCATTCAGTCACAAGATCATTAGTGAGGTCAGGCTCTGATGTCGGCTGAGGAGGCGTGCGGTGCAGTCAGCGTTCCAATTCATCCTAAAGGTGTTCAGTAAGGTCGAGGTCAGGGCTCTTTGCAGGCCACTTGAGTTCTTCCACTACAACCATGGCAAACCATGTCTTCTTGGAGCTCGCTTTGTGCACAGGGACATTGTGATGCTGGAACATATTTGGGCCTCTTAGTTCCAGTGAAAGAAAATTGTAAAGCTATAGCATACATACAAAGACATCCTATGCAATTGTGTGCTTTCAGCTGTGTGGCAACAGTTGGAGGAAGA